TGAAAGTTTTTATATATTGCTAGTTTGGCTCTGAGGATTACTGCTCTTTTTGGCCAACTGCCTTCTAGAATGCAGTAAAACATACTACATGGATTATCAAACTTTAATGGCAGTTTTTCAACTCCTAACTTAAAGTATAGAATATGGCAACTGATTCTAAAGAACATAATAATCTGCTTCCATACATCCATTGTTTGTCCTACTAGGATTAGAATAAGATTGCATTTTTGCCATGTTTTCAGTACTAGAAAATATTATCTTTCAAATGAAGTCTCTTAAATGCATTTATAGTTCTTCCTTTAGCAGATCTTATTAGGGTGTAGGTCAAGATTACATAAAAAAGGGTAGATGTGAACCAAACCCTTCCCCTACCCTTAAATCCTAAAACCAGTCAATGGCAACTGCATACATGTAAAGACAATGCATTTCCTTACGTTCATCAAGTTCATTTTCTTAGTAGTCCTTACCCTTGAAAATATTTCTTCTTCTGTCAAAGGTTATTATCCATTTAAACTTGGCTAAAAGTTTTAAAATGAACACAGGTTGCATTTGAAAGTGCGTACCACTTCAGGACAAAAAAGAAAAAAGAAAGCTTCCCCATATTTTCACTGTTCTGTTCTTCAGTCACCAACATCATTTTCATTTTCTGCAATATTTTTACTCTGAATTTTTTTAAAAGAAAGTTTTTATTATTTCTGCTTTAATTTGCCAAGATGTGAAACACGGCAACATGTACAATAAATGACTGTATAACCTGACTTGTGAGATGTCATGTATTAATGTTTTTCACTGATCACCGATCAGCAGTGATCAGTGAGATGCTTGACTACAAGATAAACAGCCACAAGGAGCAGTACCTTCCATGGCGAAGGAGACTAGAGGCCAAGGTCAAAGTAGCATGGAAGGAAGTTAGCCAATGATCGGAGCTGCAGGAAGGGGCAATCAAAAAGGTGCCTAAGAAGTAGAGCAAGCTCTTATATATATTATATTCCTTCAGCTTGAAGGATAGACCACCAGCAGCGATGAGAGGTTTTTTTTTAAATTACATACACTATCAATCAAAAGTTTTAGAATACCCCAATTTTTCCAGTTATTTATTGCAAGTCAAGTTGTTCACGTCCAATGAATAGTTCAAATGGTACAAAGGTAAGTGGTGAATTGCCAGAGGGTAGAAAAAGGTTACCCAAAAGTGAAAAATTATTTACATTTCAGAACTAAACAAAAAGGCCTTTTTCAGAGAACACAACATGGGTTAACAATTTAAAGCTGCTCTGCAGCAATGGAAGTTGATCAAGACTTGAAAGCTGGAGCTACTAAATCCTACAGGTGTTCCAACTTTTCTGGATTACATACCACCCCCTCTGTCTGCATAAAAGCAGTGCTGGAACACACTGTGGTGCCATACCCTTGTGAGCATCAGTTGAACAGTATTGTACTGCAGTGTGTTGCTACAAAAATGGGGAGGAAAAAGCAATTAACAATGGAAGACAGACAGGCCATCATAGCACTTAAAAATAGCTCTATAAAATAGGTGTAGGTCTCTCCTACAGAGAAATTGCAAAGAAAGTCCAGGTGTCATTGAGTACAGTTTCTTTCACCAACAAAAGGCTCTCAGATACTGGGGCAAACTCTGACAGGAAGAGGTCTGGCAGACCCAAAACCACAACTGAATCACAGGACAAGTTACTGAAAGTTAACAGCTTGCGTGATAGGCGGCTCGCAGGACAACAGCTTCAAGCACAGTTTAATAGTGGTCATAGTAAGCAACTCTCAGTTTCAACTGTTAAGAGAAGACTTCGAGCTGCAGGTTTGACAGGAAAGCCATTGCTAAAACATCAGAATAAGACAAAGAGGCCTGCCTGGGCCGTGAAACACCACCACTGGACTACTGGAGACTGGAAGAAGGTATCATGGACTGATGAATCCAAATTTGAAATCTTTGGTTCATGCAGGATCTTTGCACGCCATCGAGTAGGTTTGTTGGATCAACAGTCAAACATAGAGAAGGATGTGTGATGGTCTGGGGCTGTTTTGCTGTATCCAGGGCCTGAACCAAAATAGCTACTCCAGCATTCTGTAGTGCCATGCAATACCCTCTTGTATGCATCTAGTTGGTCAGGGTTTCAAGATTATGACCTAAAACATAAGTCCAAGCTATGCCAGGATACCCCAGGAAAAAAAGAGCAAGATGGTAAACTTAAAAACATGGAGTGGCCAGCACAGTCTGCAGACTTAAACTCCATAAAGCTGGTTGGGGATGAACTGGACAGAAGAGTGAAAGCAAAGCACCTACAAGTGCCACTGTCTGTCGACATTACAGGAATCCAGGCCTATACAATAAAGGGTGCCAACTGCGCGGAAAGCAGACACAGTTCAGGAGCCATTGGTGGCAACGAAGCAGTTCTGAAGGCCGACTGCGGAGGCAGCGGCAGTGATGAGACAGTCCAGGGTGCTGGCCGTGAGTAAAGCAGCGGCAGGTGAAGTCCAGATGCCCACCGCTTGGGAAACGGGGGTGGCAACATAGTTAAGGAGGCTGCGAATGACAGCAAAGATGCTCAGCCAATGGCCTGGAACGTGGCCGTCAACAGTGTAGTGCTGGACGTGGACGAGCAGGCCGTGCAGGCCGTGGATGAGCAGGACCAGAAGGCACAAGACCAGATGGCGGCGTAGCAGCCATAGGCGGTTGGATGGCTGGCATCATGGCTGTTGCAGATGGTGGATCTGATGGTTGAGTAGTTGGTGGAGCTGATGGCTGGACAGACTCTCCAGAGTCCTCAGCAGAGGCAAACGACAGCTGGGCAGACTCCCCAGAGTCAGCTGGGTAGACACTGCAGAGAGTCGCCAGCAGATGGCGTCAAAACATTGGACAGCTGGATGAACTCTTCAGAGCCGCCAGCGGGCACAGATGGCTGGCGCGGCTCTCCAGAGGCCCCAGCTGGAACAGATGCAGGACCAGCAGGTGCAGACTTCTGGCTGACCAGACAGCTGAGCAGGTGTCTGAGCAGATGACTGGGCTAATAACTGACCTAGCGACTGAACTAGTGACAGAAGTAGAGGGTGTAATGGTGGATGAAGTGGTGGATTAGCAGGCGGCTTTACTTGTTCTCCTAAGAAAACAAAGGAAACGGCCGGAATGGGTGCAGGCACCTGCTGGACACCAGCTGCTCCCACCCGAGGAGCAGGTACTGGTGCAGAGGTGGGCTGTTTCCTGGTTGGCCTCACCCTGGGGACCTGTATGGGTGCCGGGGCAAACTGGGCACCAGTCACTGCCACCCGAGGGGTGGTTATGGGTGCAGGAGGTAACTGGTTAATGGCCACCCTCACCCTGGGAGCCGGAACAGGCACTGGCAATGGCTGCGCAGCTGCTGTCCCCAGCTGGTACAGGTGTAGAGACTAGCAGAGCCTCAGCTGGCCTGGAAACTGGAGCAGGAACCAACCGGGCCCTGGGCCCCCTCACTCGAGAAACTGATACAGGTGCAGGGGATGTCTGGACCGCAGTCACCCTGAGAACAGGGGGCACAGAGAAGCAGAGGAACAGTCTCTGAAAAAACAGTGTCAGCAAAAATAGATTTAAGCCCTTTGCCACCTTGACGAACAGTTTTTACAGTCTTTGTGGTTGGGTGGACAAAATATGACTTGACAGAACCTGACTTGACAGAACCTGAAGTTCTGAAGAGGAACAGTGCTGAAGAGGAACAACCCTAGGTTTCTGTTTAGCCCTGTTATATGTCTGTTATATGAAGCACTATGGTCTTGGAGGAATGTTGTCTTCACTGTGTATTGTACCACTACAGTACACAATCTATTTTTTCAACAGATTACAGATATAGGTTATCAAGTACTTCTGATTTGAGGGTGTCTTTTTCAGAGGAGCTATAGTATCTGGAGTCGTGCTGTGTGCAGATCAACAATGAATCACATATCGATTGTGGGAGGGAGTGCAGCGTGCAGCGTTTAAAGCGTGGAAGTACTGACCTTACTTTGAGTTTGATTCCATAAAAAGTGACAAAAACATTAGCGTCCATTGTGCGTGGGAAGAAAACTTCTTTTTACAGCGAAAAAAACCCCTAAACTTCCAAGCAAGCACCGAGTGCGCAACGACGTAATGGGAAACTCACAGAGAAAGTCGCGGATTCTTCAACTGACCGCGCCTACCCCACTCCTGCTTTACAGGTGAAAATAGAGCAACAGGACCGCTGAGTCTTTGACTTTATTTATTTTCTGCTGTGTTTTACTTGCATCTATTTGAAAGAGTGAGTGTAAACACAAAAAATATTTTATTTTATGTGCTGGAATGTGTAGAAAATAGGTTTAAATGTTAAACTAATTTATTCAAGTCAGAGAATGTTGCATATAATTAAATTTTTGCTTGATGCATAAAGTTAAAAGATTAAAACTAATAAAACAAGTTAAAAAAATAGACTTTTCCATTTGATTACATTTTGTATGATAGATTATGTAGAAAAAGTAGAATTGGGCTGAAAGATCTATCGCTTTATCACCTCTTCAGGTTGTAAATCGTGTTTTTAAAAAGTAACTAAGTAACTAAGTAATTAATTACTTTTGAAAATAAGTAATCAGTAAAGTAACGGGATTACTTTTTTGGGGAAGTAATCAGTAATTAGTTACTGATTACTTTTTTCAAGTAACTTGACCAACACTGTTTGAGATTGATCACCGTTGTGGAAGTTCACCACCAGTCCTTTGGTTTCCCCAGCACCGATCTGGAGGCACTTCCACAAACTCCTGGGTCAGCTCTCTTTACTTTATCAGCTCCAGTGTGATTGGAGAACTGCTGCAGTGTGTTTTGCTCATGATTTTGTAGGTAGGAATTTGTCTTTATAGGTTTCTGTTCACCTGTAGTTGTGTGTTTGTGTCGGCCAAACTGACTGCACTGGTCAAACTGTGTCTGTTTCAGGTGAGTTAACAAAGCTGTAGATATGCAGGTAAATGAGTGACAGTGTGAGCAAACAGCTGCTGTCTGGCCGAGCAAACGCTGAACTTTGTGCTGCAGGGCAGCGGCTGCGCAAGTAGGTTGGCAGACAGCGGCTGCATCAAGTTTTGTGTTCTTGTCTTAGTGGAAAGTCAAGGAAAGGTCAGTATGGCGGAGAGGAGGATGGCAAGAAAGGCGTGTGCAGAGCCCGACTTCCTGCAGTTCAACGATCTGGGCTGTGAGACGGTCGGAGGGAAGGTGAGTCACCACGAGTATGTTCACGCTGCTGCTGTGGGCAGGTTCACTCACTCCACTCATTACAACTGTTTGAAACCACAGCCTGATATGAAAACAATGTAAAGTCAGTAATATAATATACGAAAGACACAATGAAAACACATGAATTATATTGCAGTTTGTAATCTTTCATTATAGTATGTAATTTATAGTAAATTAAAAAATTGTGAATAAAATCAGGGCTCCTAACATTTGTTCAGTATAATATGACAACAGACATAGAAGAAGACACAAAAAGAGTTTTAATGGGCTTAAAACACAAAAATACATAAAATGATCACAAACAGGTCTAATGCATTTTTTAAAATAATTTTTACGTACATTGACTTTAACTCAGTTAACCGTCTAAATATTTTCTCTCCTGCTGCTCAGGAAAGAGGCCAGCTAGCTGTTCACTCAGTTTCTGTTAGCGTAATGTTTAATCACCGCTTTAACTCTGTTCAGTTCTCTGTGTTATCACATTGAAGCTGTTTGTGTTAGCAAAACAATTTTTTTCTTTCAGGTAATTTTTGCCACAGACGAATGGTTTGCCCCAGCGAAAAACCTGCTGAAGGTAAAATAACTCCACTCATCAGCATCAGTGACATTCACGTTAAAGGAGCAGTCCACTGTTTCTTCCCCTGCCTGAAGCTCTGAGCCCAGTGATTCATATTTCACATCATTAAAAACACCTCACACCCAGCTTTATTTAAAAGAGTTGAATATTTGTTTAACAGCTTATGCCTGTTCTTTCCAGTCTAAAATGTTTAGAAAACAGTTTCTAAGGCACTATTTTTAGCAGTGGAAGAATCCACATTAGGATGGAGGACAGCATATTCACACAGTGATGAACTGGACATAGCAGCAGGTGTATGGCACGATTCTTTCTAATGATAAAGTTCTTTATGCAGGTGACTCAAAATGAGCTGGATAATTATAAGACATTAACAGAGTTATCTTTAAATATTTTTTAAAGCTTTTAAAGGCATTCAGAGGTGGCAAAAGTACACACATTCTGTACTAAAGTAGAAGTACAGATACTATTGTTAAAAATACTGCAGTAAAAGTACTGATTCAGCCTCTTTACCCAAGTAAAATTAAAAAGTACTGGCTCTGAAATACACTCAAAGTAAGAAAGTAAAAGCAGCTCTTTGAAGGACGTTTCTATTTTTGTGCAAAGCTAACTGAACTGTGCTATATTAATATAATAATAAAATAATATCAGTAGATGGAAAAACAGACTTTACTCTAACCTTTAATCCTAATTGAATTAAATCATGAATCAGAAGGAAAAGAAAAATATATTTCTATTTTCTGTTTCCTTCATTGGAGAGGGTGACTTTACCTCTACCTCTAAACAGGAAAATTTGTACAGTCAGGGGTTAAAGTGGAGGTGGCGTGGAAGTGGCCAGGGGAGGAGCGGTGGGGGGATCTCAGTGTGGGGAAAATCATCATATCTCTCAATAATTTCTATTGAAAGCTTCACCAGATTTTCTTAGTGTACGGGCTGTGATCAGCTGGCCTGCTGCTCTTTGTGGATGTATACATGTGGATTCAACCTGATGTGAGCAAATGTTTCCTGAGTTGTCCTGCCTCATTTAATCTCTACACTGACAGTACACTGTTTATGCTGTCTTTATATTATACACTATACAACCATCATCAGCTAAAATACACACAAAATAACATGTTAACATGTAAGCAGTTAATATAGTTGTTTGCAATAGCCTGAGATAAACAGGCACACTAAATTTCATCCCTTGTAATATTATATTTCATCTTAAGCCCAGGTTTGCTCTGTGAGGGGGATACTTCATCTGTTACCATGTAAACCTATACACACCACCTGCCCAGTGGTCTCACGGTTCCGTGTTACAATAACAAGGCTTGGCAGGATGAAAGCAGACATATCTAACTTATCCAGGACCCAGTAAAACTGGGGCACGCAAACTATATAACATCTCTTGTAAGACAAACGCAAAATATAACCACGCTCAACATGTAGATACTACACAACATAGTCAAAGAAAAACGTGGTCTTACATCTCAAAAAAGAAACAGCAGCTTGCCGCCAAAAACAATGTTTTTAAGTTAAATTTGAAGTCTTGCCGTGAAACCTTGTTGTTCTTCGCGGTTTTATTACAACTGTTTTTGCATTACTGCCACCTTGTGAATATACGAAGTATATTGATCCTAATTAACTTAAATGTTATGCCATCAAGTAACACGTTAGTATTCTGTACAGACAATAATAGACAAAATTACGTAGACTTGATTAAAAAAACATATTTTAACTTAACAAAAACATATATTTTAAGTAAAATGAAAATAAATAATTAATATACACTGAACAATCCACCTCATTCATTTTTTGAGTGTACAGAGAGAGCCGCCACAGTTCATCACATCTGCCTTCACCGAGTTTGGAAAGTGGATGGACGGATGGGAGACGAGGAGGAAGAGAACACCTGGTTAGTACCCTGAATTTTCACAAGCGGACCCGTTTTCTGACGCGGTGCTTTCTTTTACTCTCTTCTGGGTTTTCTGAGCCTAAGCTCCAACATTTCTTACACTTGGGTTTTGTTTTTGTTTTTTTTACTTTTAACATTTTGTTTATTTTAGTTTTCTTAGTTTGATCTGTGATTGTGTTAGAGTTTAACTGTTCCCTCTGTATTTCCCGTCTCATCTTCCTCAATCATTTCCCCCTGTTATTTGTGTCTGTGTTTCATCCATCCATTCTTTTCCTTTTTTCCTTTTTTACTGAGAAGTGAACCAATCATCATTGTGTTTGCTTGTTGCTTGGTTGAAGGTCACGACTGGTGCATTATCCAGCTGGGAGTCCCAGGTTTGATCCATGGCTTTGATGTCGACACGTCCTTCTTCACAGGAAACCACTCACCCTACATCTCCATCCAGGCCGGCTGTCTGGGTATGTCATCATCGTCATCATCATCGCATTGCCCAATAACGTACTTTAAACTTTTCCATATCTAAATAGCTTCAATGAAACACTTCCTGTTGTTCTCCCAGACCAGGAGTCTCCTTTCACCCTGGAAGGAGACCGAACTGGCATGGCTGCCTCCGATAGTCAGATGGCAGCTGTTGCCAAGGTAACAGTGACCTTCATGTGATTCAATTCAATTCAATTCAATTTTATTTATATAGCGCCAAATCACAACAAAAGTCGCCTCAAGGCGCTTCATGTGATCACCGACACTGTAGTCAGCCCCAGCTAAACAAATATTTAAAACAAGAGTGATGTGCTGAATTGACAGCTATGGTCGGTTTATCTGCAGCCATGTGAAAAGCGGAGAGCTCCTAATCGTCAATCAGTCATTAATTCATCGTCAGGATACCATAAAGACCTGAGTAGAATGTCTTTTTCACATGACTATATGTATGGCTCAGGGGCGATTCTAGGATCAGAGCTTTGGGGGTGCTGAGCACCTAGAGAGCTGCCCAGCCAGGCAAGATAGACTTTACTCGTCACGATGAGACGTCTTCCCCGTGTCTGTCAGTCCCTGCATCCTTAAATGTCTCCAGTTGTCCCAAGTTCTCTATGACTGTCTCCTTGGTGCATTTAAACCCCTGTTCCTCCCTGTCCTCATCGTCTGTTGTCTTCGTCTCCGTTATCAGTCATCATAATTTTACCATCTCTGAGTAAGTCTGCAAATTTCTTTATTAAATCATAAGATTCTTAAATTCATCAAGTCTCCCTGTGCCTGGGTCCTCGTCACAAAACATGACATCACTGTTTTGTACATTTTAACACAATTGAATCCCCATTTTTGAGAAAGAAAAGCAAAACACTATTTTAAAAGTCAGTAACAAAATCATCAAATCAGATAAAGGTTATTTAAATGCTGCAAACGAAGAATGGATTGGAATAAAAAAAAAACATATCCTAACCTTAATTACTGGGGGAAAATGATGAATGATGATCATAGTGAGTAAGATGTAAACAGAGTGCATTTTTTGGACAGAGATTCACTTTTAATGTGTATGTATAATATAATACAGATACATAAAAATACACTCCAAAAATAGAGTCCTTGAAATGTACAAATGTACAAAATATTGATAAATAAAATTATAAAAATGGAGGCAACTTTGCCTATGGTACAATGTATTCAATGTATGAAAAGATCTTTACTGTAGGCTCTGCAGATTTTTTGTTTTATTTTAACCTATGTCGCCTCACCTTGAGGTTGGCAAATCTGTCTATCACTTTTTGTCATTAACTCTCTCAAGCAGTTTAACAGTTTCTGTTTTGCCTGTCACTGTTCCCTGTCTGTTTTCTTATCTGGTTCTTCCTGACCTTGTACTTTCTTCTCACGTTCCCCTCTTTCTTCTCTCCCTCTTTGGACTGACAATCATACACAAATAGATTGTATTAATTAGATGTAAAAAATTACATTAATATTAAAAAACAAATACTATTAAGACCACTAATAAAAAAAAAAGTCCTCTCTCAGTGTACTTTCAACCAAAAGGCAAATAACCAAACCACATGAACATCTAATAAAAGATATAAATATTGAAACACTGATCCAAAATTATTCTTGATTGACGGATCTTTTGATCTTACACTTTTACCTGAATGTTGCTCCTGGGTTTAATCTTGGCACATGCACATATGACAAAATAACCAACTTCTCCATTTCAAACAGGACAGTGGCAACAACAGTAGACTACAGATAATTTTAAGTTTTAGATTTTAAATAGGCTATATAAATTTCAATGGGAGCAACAGGACAGTCAAATGCCGCTGATTTTACTACAGAGCAGGACAGATTGTAGGGTAGCAAACATCGTTGGAAAACACATTTCCAACACTGCAGGCTACCTGGTGTAATGTTTTTCAGCTAAAAAGAAACATGGTCTGACTCCTACCTAACTATATAAAGAGTAACTGAAGGTTAAATGCAGCTAATATGTCCTGTTTTAAGCCAGGCACTTACACCTCCGCTCCGCTGTGTCTCAGCCACCATCAGGGCGCTAGAGGGGAGAGCTGGAACAAACCATTTGGGGGGTGTTATCTATACTTTTGTTGTTAAAATGTTATGTCTCAAACAAGTACTGAATGCTTTTTATATTTTTAGTAGTGTGTCACACAAACAGTAAATAATCTTTGGGGGTGCTTTGATTCATTGATTCAAAAATGGGCTAAAATCGCCCCTGGTGTGGCTGCTGATTAGGTGAACACCTGTGCCATGTGGGCATGTCTGACCTGGATGTTCACTGAATGATGTCATTTACTGTGTTTGATTGACAGCTGGGATCAGAGGTGTGGCCAGAGCTGGTTAGTGTGTCGCAGCTGCAGCCTGGATACTCGGACTGCTGCCATAACTACTTCAAAGTCAGCTTCAGCAGGAGAGTGACACACCTGCGCCTCAACATGTACCCAGGTACACACACACACACACACACACACACACACACATGCTCTGTGCAACTTTATATGCATCTACAATATACTGTGTTTCAGATGGAGGCATAGCCAGACTGCGGGTGTACGGTGTTGGGCTGAGGGACTGGTCATCTGTCTCCACTAATCAGGATGTTGACCTAGTGGCTCTGACCAATGGAGGAGTCTGCCTCGGCTACAGTGACGCCCACTTTGGGCATCCACGCAATATGATTGGTTAACATCAGATAGTACAATAATCTGTATTTCAATATAATATATATATTGATAATATTGGGTTGAATGTCTCTGTTGTGAGTGAGCTGGGAGCTCTGGTCAAACTGGTGTGCTGTGTTTGCAGGACTTGGTCGAGCTGCCAACATGGCCGATGGATGGGAAACGGCCCGCAGACTGGACCGACCCAAAAAACTGCAGGTGTGCACGCTGACAACACTAATGTCACATCTCCGGCTCTATACGTTAAAGCAGCTGTACATGATTCACAGCCAGCTTTATTCTGATTGGCTGGCCCAAAGGATTTTTGACAGCACGTTTCTCCGACATCATAAAGATCCAAGAGCAGAAAAAACTGTGTGAAACCACTGAACTGGAGGAACATGAGAGGAAATAAGGAAAAGTCTTTAAAGTTTCTAACCTTTACACATTTATAAAGGTTAAATCCCACAGAAGTAAAAGTGGTGCACTCTCCTGACACCTTTATAAAAACTCTTCACATAGCAAAAAAGACAAAATGTCCTCCAGCAGTGTCTACACAGTGAAAAACATCAATTTCTGATTGACTTCATTTACTACCAACAGTTTCCTTGCTTGTCAGAGAGTCCTCTCTCTCTCTAAAATGTTTCATTTCATTAGAAAGGTTTCCACTTTCTTTTCAAGCTGTCCTCAGTGTCACAATTCATTGTACTATAATGATATAATATTATTAACTTCTTGTTTCTCCAACCGTGAACATAAATATTATTACATTATAGATGTGGGTTAAATGCTTCCCTGCTGCAAATCTTGCAGGCAGACCAGCGTGGGATCCTGCAGGTTCCCGGCTGGGAGTGGGCGGTGTTTCGTCTCGGTCATCCCGGACTGATCAGCAGCGTTGAGGTCGACACCAACCACTTCAAAGGTGGAGACACGTCAGTGCTGCTTTTCTTTCCTTTAAAAACAAACTTAGCTCTTCAGCCTGACACTTTCCTCTCCAGGAAACTTCCCAGACTCATGCAGGATCGAGGCATGCACTTTGACCCCTGAGGAGAAGGCTCAGTGTATCGGCAGTAGGTGGAATTCTGGGAAATGGAGGGTCCTTCTCCCTCCTCAGAAGGTAACCTTTGTCACCTGTTAAATCATTTTCACCCTCTCATCCTCTTCCTCACCGCCTCCTACCTCTCTGCAGCTCCGCCCTCATCACATTCATCACTACGGCAAGATGGAGCTGAAACTGAGCCATCCTGTCACCCACGTCCGACTTATCATCGCTCCGGACGGAGGAATCAGCCGCCTCCGTCTGTGGGGTCGACCCATACCATTCACTGCAACTCTGGCCAGTAAGAAGTGGACAGTGTCCAAACTGTGACACCCAGATGACCTCAGACCTTCAGGGCTTTTAAAAAATTAAGCTGCTATTGATCTGCTGGTTATTGATTTCCTTTTGTCTGGTCCTCTGTCATTAGTTCTCATCCATCCATCTTAGTTTTCTCTCCCTCAGGCTCAAGGTCAACTTTAATCATCTTCCACCTTCCAGCCAACACCCTGACCCCCACCTCCAATGATTCTCCAGGACATTTGTCCTTTGAATGAGTCTGAAATGTCCAATTATGATTGCGCCTCCTTCTTTCCCCGTCTGTTTGAGATTTAAAGACATTAACTGGAAACATCTGGGCCTGACACACAGCTCCAGCTGTGGTATGCTCCTACACACAGTGCTCACGAGCGGCAGCAGAACGGCACCGTCAGGAAGGGTCAGGGGTTGGGAGTTAGCTGCCTCATCAATAGCTGTGCTCAGTTGTTCTTACTCCCGCAGTTAATTATAGTAGCCCCTCCTCCACCTTCGTGTTGGCTCACGAAGCTGCTGTGAATGGTGGAGGTGGTGTAGCTCAGACACATGTGTTCACACTGGATTCACGTCACACGTAGAACCCTCACTCTGATATTTCTGGATTTTCAGTCTCTGGTTTCGGTTTCTTTTCCATGTTTTAGTTAGATCATCTCCGCTGGCTTCAGTGATTCCACGATCATTTAAAGCACATACATTTAAAAACACCTGACACGCTTCGGATGTGAAAGAATGAATGGGTTTGTTTACTTCTGTAAAATAAAGCTGTGACAGCCAAAGTTTGATTTCACTCTAAACATGAAAACAACATAAAGTCACTAATAAATGAACAGGTTTAAATTTATTTACAACCTGCCCTCTAATCAAAAACACCGCCTCCTCCACCTCTCTGTAAAACCTCTGACTGTTTTTCATTATTAGGGGCGTGGCCTCTGTGACTGACACGTGGATGGTGACACAGGCAGCTGTAGCTACTATCTGTCTGCTAGCTTCAGCTGAACTGGACCTCTGGACCCTGTCTGTGCTATTGGCCTTTGGAGCATTTTAATGACATCATGTGACCAATAACGGGGCTGCTGTGATGTTACTGTAGTAACAGAAGGCTGATCTCCAGTTTTCACTTCTCTACTGAGTACTTCCATGTTATACCCAGGGACCATGAACCTGACTAATGGATATACAGTACTATGCAAAAGTGTTGAGTGGGAAATAGGTGCAGTGGTTTATTGAAACATGCTAACATCATGTAAATACAGCACATGAGGCAAAAACAAAGTTTGTACAAATCTTCATTCTTCAACACAGTCTGGTGTTCAGATTTTCAGTGAGCAGGATGCTCTGAGCACTTGCAGAAGAGCATCCTGCTCTGGAGTGAACGGCTGGGAGAAGAAGAATTTAATTTTATTGATATAATGCCTAGACGGTTTAAATTGTAAGGTGAAGACCCACAACAATAAAAAGAAGAAGTTTTGAGGAGTTGTTTTTTTTTAATTTTTTATGAGCACATATATTTTTTTTTTACAAAAACAAGGAACATGATTCAACAGAGGCAGTGACCCCTGACCCTAACAGACTACTGCAGTAAAAATCACATCCATCCCAAAATGTCCATTTTCCTATTTTATTTCATTCTCTGTACACACACACACACACACACACACACACACACACACACACACACACACACACACACACACACACACACACACACACTCTGCTGGTCACTGCTTCTTCGAAGCGCACAAATAAAGAAAGTGATAAAATTATGTAACCACAGAAAAGCACATTAAGTGATAAAATGACCATTAAAATATGAAGAGATTAATTAAATACACTGGCCTCTAAAGTCAACAACCTTTTAATATTTTCTCATTCTTAATAATCTAATAAATCACCTCTATAATTAAATATCTCACCAGACAGACTTCCAGGGTGCAGACTGGTAGAGTACAAAATTCTCCACTTCTGAAGAGACTCAAATGAGAGAATAAATATTTACATTGAAAAGGGGGAGGAGGAAACTGTACAGCACTTCTTGTTCAAACCAAAGCTTTTCTTTCAGAAAGATTTCATTAAGATGTCCAAACCAGGTGAGGTGCATCATGCAGTAAAACTCCTAATATTCCGATCCAGTTAAACTCTTGCACATTTACACTGAGTGTGGCTCTGAGGAGTGTTTGTATTTTCTTCACCTGCGTCGTGGTTCTGATTACTGTTGATGTGAACGTCTTTAAAGCCATCCTGTTTCCTCTAAGCCAGCCACGCACGATTTTTAATTCATCTCTCAACAATTCCTGTAAATCCTGGTGCTTTTTTTCTGAGTAATACATCATCAGCTTACTGTTACTCACCACAACATGAGCACGTTTTAAAGTGACTTTCTGATCGTTTGTATAAACAGAGAACAGGAAGTGAGTCATGCAGCTTCCTCGTGGCAGCTCACAGTGAGTGTCTGTCCAGCGACATGAGGAGCTATTTCCATCAGAGAGAAAACTTCTCATCATAGAAATGGCTGAATCTGAGAAATGGTAAGACTTCAGTTTGTGAAGCAGCAGATTAGGACTGATGACATCAGAAGAGGAACTGAAATCTATGAACACAACTCCAACTTTTCTTTTTTTTTTCAGTTCTGTGAGCCAATGATCAGTTATGTCACCCAGAGTTTGATGATGAGTGAGAAGTTCATTGTTATAAAAGTATCCCTGCATCTGCTGGAGGAGTACTTTCTCCAGGATCGGATCAGGACGGAATACGCAGCTCTCAAGATTCTCTGATGGGAACTTGCCGCGGTGGATGCACGAGTTCAGGATGTGACATATGGGAGCAGAGATGGATGGAGCTGCAGCTTGTAGAACATAAGCATCAACGTCGGACATCAACCTCTCAACTTCCTTATCCTCAACTTTCCTAAACTCAAGAGAACAGTGTTTGTTTTCCATGATCTTCTTTTTAATAAGAAACTCTGATGGAGACACTTCAGAAAGAACAGGAGGAGACTTTAAGGGTTCACTGAGGGGATCTGTTTCTGAGTTTCTGCTTCTGGGGACTCTTCTTCGTACAGTGGCAGTGATGAGCTTATGATTACTGATTGATTTAACTTGGTGACCGTCTGGTTCTGAGCAGAGCGCTGGAATATTTGTGTAGATGTGATCAATATATTTTGATGTGGATCGTGAATTTGTCACGTGCGCCCTGGCAGGCTTTTTTATGATCTGTGTCAGTCCACACACAGAGGAGACGAAATCAATTCTCCTCTTTATTGCAGACTCTTTCAACCAGTCAATGTTAAAGTCTCCCAGAAGGAAAATGTCTTTGTCTTCATTTGACACCATTTCTATTTTTCTGCAGATTTTAATTAAATAATCTATTTTGCTGCGTGGTGGTCTGTAACAACATCCCACTAAAACTGGTCTGGTATCTGGCAGGGAAAACTCAACCCAGATCATCTCGAGATCTTTGTGATCCAAGTCAGACCGCTGAATAACTGTCATGTGATCGTGAATATAGAAACCGACACCGCCTCCATCTCTGTTTCTATCCTTCCTGTAAAACCTGAATTTCTCTATATGTAGTTCAGAGTTTTTAACACTGTTGTCTAAATGAGTTTCAGTTAACGCCAGCACATGAATGTTAGAATCTGTTAATATTTTCTCAACGTCAGGATGCTTATTCCTAAGACCACATATGTTCAGATGAGCTAAACATAAATACTCAAGTTCAGAGTCAGCTGAGGGATCTGCAGCGGCCATAGTTTCAAAGAGAGATGAGTGTCACGGGTTCTCTGATCCTGGTTTGTCCTGATGGAAAGTGTCCTCTCTGCATCCTTCAGCTGAGAAGCTGTTGGCCTGATTCTTAGTCTCTTGGTCCAGGTTCAGTCTGCAGCACAAACACGTCACAGTTATCATGCAAAGAGTATAAATAGAACTCACATACACTAGATGGTCTCAATAAATCTGTAACAGTAAACTTTCCTGTGAAGTAAAACATTTCAGTAATATTTTATTATACTTTGTTGGAATATTTCATAAATCAGTCAAAAGAAGATTTGCAAAATCGATTCAGTTTTATTCATATAGCTCTGAATCACAACAACAGCCACCTCAAGGTGCTTTACACTGGAAGGTAAAAATGACATTTATTACATTTAAAATTACACATTACATACAGCACCACTCCGCAAATCACTACCTTATCATTTTGGAGGGGTTTGTGTGTCCCAGGGATCAGGGACAGTGGGGAGGCTGCCCGAGGGTGAGCTTTTGGTGGCCAGGGCTTAGTCCATGGGGCCCGGCCAGGCACAGCCCAGAAAAGGGACATAGGCCCATCCTCCTGCTGGCCCACCACCTGCAGGAGGCGCCGTAGGGGTTGGGTGCATTGTGTGCCGCGCAGCGGGCAGGCACTGAGGCCCTGATAGAAGGAATACGTCGAGGACCTCCTTAATCCCCTGTGGACGGCTAGAGGACAGCTCACCTATCTCTGGGTTCAATTCAATTCAATTCAATTTTATTTATATAGCACCAAATCACAACAACAGTCGCCTCAAGGTGCTTTATACTGTACAGTAGGTCGTACAATAATAGATACAGAGAAAAACCCAACAATCATATGACCCCCCTATGAGCAAGCACTTTGGCGACAGTGGGAAGGAAAAACTCCCTTTTAACAGGAAGAAACCTCCGGCAGAGCCAGGCTCAGGGAGGGGCGGCCATCTGCTGTGACCGGTTGGGGTGAGAGAAGGAAAACAAGATAAAGACATGCTGTGGGTTGAGGTGACTGAGGCAGTTAAATAACTCCTTGGTGGCAGAGGCTCTGGGGTGGATGAGGTCCGCCCTGAGGGCTGTCTTGGTTGACACTTCTCTGCAGTGTTGTGGAGAGATCACGGGCAGTACCTCTGGATTGGCAGACAGGGGTGGTGATTCCCATCTTTAAGAAGGGGGACCAGAGGGTGTGTTTCAACTATACGGGGATCACACCCCTCCCTGGAAAAGTCTATGCCAGGATGCTGGAAAGGAGAGTCCATCCGTTAGTCGAACCTCGGGTAAAAGAGGAACAATGCTGTTTTTGTCCTGGTCGTGAAACACTGAACACTGGATACTTGAGGGTGCATGGGAGTTTGCCGAACTAGTCTACATGTGTTTTGTGGACTTGGAGAAGGCATTTAATACTGTCCTTCGGAGTGTGGGAGGTGCTTCGGGAATATGGGGTTTTTGGCCCATTGCTAGAGGCCATTCAATCCTATTTAACACTCACACGCATTCGTATTCTGATGAATGCATCGGAGAGCAACATGGGGTTAGTATCTTGCCCAAGGATATTTGGCATGCAGACAGGAGCAGAATGGGATTAAACTACCAACCTTCCGTTTAGTAAGTGACCTGCTCTGACACCTGAGCTGCAGCCACCCTACTAATACAATCGTTGTACGGGTAAGGTGTTCTGGGAAAGTCCCACTGGGGGGAGGCCCCGGGGCAGACCCAGGACACACTGGAGAGATTATATCTCTCAGCTGGCCTGGAAACACCTTGGTGTTCCCTTCAGACAAGCTGGAGGAGGTGGTCGGGGAGAGGGAGGTCTGGGCTTCTCTGCTTAGGCTGCTGCCACAGTGACCTGGCACAGGATAAGCGGAAGAAAATGGATAGAATAACACAGAATAAGAAAACTGTCTCGGTTGCTGGCGTTTAGTGCAGGATATTCACTTTTTGTGTTTTGATTGGTCTGTTTTGGTTTCATTGTGAAGGCTCAACCTGAGTAATGTTGGGCTAAGTTTGGACAGCAGAGATAGGGATAGAGCTCTCCTGGGTCCTCACATGCAGAGCCATTAAATTATGAGTTAACTGTGCTTAACCGCAACTTTTTGAAAGCTGACTTTCACTGTCACACCCAGGCCTGACTACTTCCAGACATGTAACTTTCAGGCTGTGTAACAAAGTGGAGCAGATCTCAAACAGCAGCACATCACACAACCAACTAAAGAAAGAGCTGAGGAACAAAGTCACTGACATCTATCGGTCTGAAAGACTTACAGAGAGATTTGTAGTCTGGGTTGCAGATGAACACAGAACAACACTGTGACGGAGGTGTAGTCCGTGGCGCCGCTGCCGAGGAGGGGGGTGGAATGGACTGTAAAAACACACAATTATCAAAGAAACAAATTTCACTACCAACACTGAGAGTCTTGAGTCCTTACTGGGGTTAAAAGCATCCAAAGAACCAGCTGAGAGACAAACTCTGTAACTCTGTCAGTCTACAGGACTCACTGGAACACAATAACTGTAGTTACGGTAGCTATTGTCAAGGTCAATGTCAAGTTTATTTGTATTGCACATTTCAAACATCTCATGCTGCAAAAAGTGCATCGACGTGTGCTAAAAGCCAGTCAAAAGTATTTGTCTTCAGTAAAGACTGAAAATGTTCCAGCATTTGTGCAGACCTAATATTTAGAGGCCGACTACTCCAGAGTCTGGGACTTGCCACAGAAAGGCTCTGTCCCTACCAAATTTAGACCGTGGAACAGATAAGATTAGTTCTGAATAGTGATGTGTCATGTGCAAAAGCATCGACTCTAAGAGCCAACTTCCATCAAGTGAGAGCCGGCTCCCCAATTTTTTTAAACAAGGTTTATTGTGCTGCCACTGTCCTCCCACATACATCACACACAGCATGATTGGTTGGAATTGGTTGCACCTCTTTATTCAGCCATGGACCAAACATTTCTGCATATGGAGTTCAACACTACCCTCTCAGAAACTGCATTACTGGATCGCAGGTTTAAAAAGCCTTAATTAAGTGACAACAGAGCTGTTGATGAAGCATTTCAGAGAATAACTGCCTCAGCAGCAAAATGCACCCCCAGCAGCCACCCAGCTCCATCATTAGAGGGCCAATTGGAGGAGGAGCCACAAACTTCTGCTGTGTGGAGACTCTTTAACGAAAGAGCTACAGGAGATGCTGCAAAGAGCTGATGCTCTACTGGAGATGCAATGCTATCTTGAGAGATGAGATGTTATCTTTCCAACATGGAGAAGACCCCCTGAGCTGGTGGCAGGCCAAGGTCACAGTTTTCCACACCTGGTGAAGGTGATGGAGGGGAGACTATGCATTACAGCTGCACCTTCGGAAAGAGTCTTCTCAAAAACAGAAAAGATAATAACTCAGAGGAGAAACTGCTCTCCAGACATACTGTTTGGTTACTGAGTTTGGTTCTGTTCCTGCTCTGCGGATTTGTTTACAGAGTTTTGTTCATTTGTTTTTGTGTCAAATTAAAATTAAACATTTGATTAAAATATTAAAATTAAGTAAGAATGCCTGCTTTTGAAACAGAAGAAATACACAAAATTAGGCAGTTATAAGGCTGCTCATAAAAACACTAAATACAAAATGGTTTATCAACACACGAAGCATTCATATTTGCCAAGTAAGGCTAAAATATTATGCTGTTGAAGATAATAAATTAGAAGCCATTTGGGAGCCAAAAGAGCCAGCTCTTCCTTGGGAGTCGTGCCACAAGAGTTGTCTCTTTGAAAAGAGCCGAACTTCCCATCACTAGTTCTGATCTTGATCTCTTGGTTCACAACTACAATTGTAGTTATTGTGTGTGCACCTTGAAAGATAACTGTTCAAGGTGTACAGGTGACACATGTCTTGCATGTTTGAACATTACCTTGTGAGCGCATTACTGCTCAAAAAGGTTTTTATCGTTCAACTGACTTACATTTTTAATCTGCAAGATTTAAATTCTCAAAAAAAACATTGAGTATAATTTAACTTTCATAACATGAATATTATTAGTTACAGAACATGATTTATTAGAAGAGAGCTGGAGGGCAAAATGCGATTAGTACTTCAAGTCAAGGCAGTATAGCAGAGACACAGCTAGGATGTGTTTCCTTTTTTTTTTTTGCCTGTCCCGTTTGGCTCTTTTGCCATCAGAATTGTTGTCTAAAGGCAAAGAAAGATGCCCAACGGATTTGCTTTACCAAATTGACCATCCCAGCCTTGCCGTAATGGTCCATTTGATTCACCTTTTATTGTTTATTTTATTTTCATTTACTGAATACGGGACAGACTTGACTGGGGGAAAGAAGGGGAGAAAGAAAGAGGGAAAGAGAAACAGCTGAGAAGAGGGACGGGGAGAGAAGGGCAAAAAACAAAAACCAACAGAATGAGCAGAAAAAAAAAAAGAAATAAAAAATGCATATATCAATCACCTGGATCACCTGCTGAGAAAGAAAAAAGAAAACAAGCAGAAGAGAACAAGAGTAATAGAATAAACAACATCACAATGATATATGGGAATATGACAGTAAATACTAAATATTAAACATTATTGTGCAGCACACAAGATCAACAGAACACAGTGTGCTTTGAGGTAGGAGCCAAAAAGGGTGTAGTTTGTGGGTGTGATCACCTGTATGTGTTTCCTGAACTTTACTGTTACGTACTCAGTATGTCAATCATGAATTGTTAATGCCTTGCATATTTAAAGTACAGTGTAGTACCACAAATCCTAACGGATCTGTTAAGAAATATAGCTGGTATTGTGTTGTGTCATAATGTAAAATGTAGTCCAATGGATGCATGCTCTAACAGGAAGTACAACGAAGGAGTTTTTAGCACTTTGGCAGACTTGTCTGTATGTACCTGTGGACACCTTTTATCAGCATGATCATGCCACAAACACTTTACAGAGAATGTAGTTTAGATCAAGACTGAGTTAGTAGAGAAATATGATCTGACACATTTTTACAGTATATTAGGAGAGTGACCTCGTAATAGTATAGAAATGCCTGCTCATGGATCATATGGTCAAAATAATATCTAGTTTAACTCTTGATATACACACCACATAGTTTTAATGTAACAATAATAACAACTTGTAACTGAAGTCAGTGTTTCAAACAACTCCCCCTGTTTCCCTAACAAAGTCAAAATTCTTGATCATGTACTCGCTCAGTATAATTTCCCATCACATAATTTATAATGCAAATATACAGTGGAACCCCGACTTACAAATACCCCATTAAACGGAAAATTCAAGTTATGAAGGCACTGAACGGCAATATTTCTGCCCGTGTTACGGCAAAATGCCTGTGTTCCGAAATCAGCAGGCTCTGATTGGCCGAGCCCAGAATGCCCAGAATGCCTAGAATGCCTTCCGAATTATGTGCCAACCACCTTGGCTTTCGTATTGTGTTGATGTTGCAGTTAGCAATTAGCCAATAGCCTATTGTTCATTCACAATGAGGCCTGCAAGCGATTCGAGTGAAAAGAAGAAGCGTAAAGTGCTCTCGATGACAACAAAGAGAGAAATTATTCATAAATATGAGTGAGGTGTGAAACTTAGTGCTATTGCACGTGAGAATGGCCGAAATCCTTTGACCATAGGAATAATTCTAAAACAAAAAGAAGTCATCAAAGCAGGTAAACCTTCAACGGGCACCACCATCATGTCCAAAAGGAGGAGCCACATACACGATGAGATGGAAAGGTTTCTCCTTGTTTGGATTAAAGACAAGGGAAAGGCTGGCGATACACTCACCGAGACGATCATTTGCGAGAAGGCGTCCTCAATTTATAATGATTTAGTAAGCAAGGCACCTTCCAATGAGCAGCCAACGGCATCGACGTCCTTGCAGGAGGCACCCCCATCCTCCCCAGAGTTTAGGGCGTCGCATGGGTGGTTTGATCGGTTCAAGAAGAGGACTGGCATCCACTCTGTTGTGCGTCACGGCGAGGCAGCAAGTTCCGATCACAAGGCTGCCGAAGAATTTGTTAGAAAATTTGAGGAACTCATAAACCAAGAAGGCTACACCCCCCCAGCAGGTACTAACTGTGATGAGACCGGCCTCTTCTGGAATAAAATGCCGCAGCGTATGCACATCACCGCGGAGGAACAAAAGATGCCAGGCCACAAGCCCATGACAGACCGTCTTACCCTCGCCCTGTGTGCTAATGCCAGTGGGGACTGTAAGGTCAAGCCACTCCTAGTGTACCACTCAGAAAACCCGCGTGCCTTCAAGAAACACAAAATTTTAAAGGAGAGGCTTGAGGTTATGTGGAGGTCCAACCCCAAGGCCTGGGTGACCCGACAGTTCTTTATCGAATGGGTCAACTTGGTCTTTGGCCCTGCTGTCAAGACGTTCCTTGAGGAGAACGATCTCCCCATGAAGTGCCTGCTGAGCATCGATAACGCCCCCGCCCACCCCTCTGGCCTCGAGGACGACATCCTGGAGGAGTTCTCGTTCATTAAGGTTCTCTTCCTCCCTCCCTACACAACCCCTCTCCCCCAGCCCATGGATCAGCAAGTCATCTCTAATTTTAAGAAACTGTACACGAAACACATGTTCGAACGGTGTTCCGACATAACAGAGAGTACGCAGCTCACCCTCAGGGAGTTTTGGAAAAATAATTTCGACATCGTTGCATGACTCAAGTTGATTTCATTGGCATGGCGGGAGGTGAGTCGTTGAACGCTAAATTCTGCTTGGAGGAAGCTGTGGCCTGATGCTGTTGCCCCTTGAGATTTTGAAGGCTTTGAGGGGAAGGAGGGGGAACCTCAACCTGAAGTCAAAGTTGAGGAGATCATAAATCTTGGCACCGCCCTGGGACTTGAGGTCAAGGAGGAGAATATAAACGACCTTGTGCTTCAACATCAAGAGGAGTTGTCAACGACAGAGCTGCAAGAGTTGGAAGCGATGCAGCACTCATCAGTACAGCAACAATTCGGCGAGGAGGAGGAGGCCGTCATACCATCGGGCGATATCAAGGACATTCTCCGCGATTTTCAGAAGGTGGCCGATTTTGTCGAAAAAAATCACCCTGAAAAGAACTTTACCACTCGTGCTATAGAGCATTTTAGTGACATCTGCCTCTCCCACTTGATATCCATTTTGAAAAGTAGACAGAGACAGACGTTGTTAGATAAACTTTTCACAAAGAGGCTAGCAGCAAGTCAACCAGGTGAAAGTGTGCCTTAGAAGGTGAAAAAAGCGATGAAAGTAGCAGTAGTGATTAGTTAAAAAACATAAAAATGCACAAAAATATAAAATAAAAAAAAATTATAAAATAGAAAATTAAAAAAATTATACAATACAAGTTTTAAAAATATGAAAGTTTTAGTTTTAATGTTTTAGAATGTTTAGAATGTTTAGAATGTTATATACATGCAGCATATGTATGCATGCATGCATACAACTGACACATATGTACACTTATTCCTCTAATTTTGAGTTAGTGGTAATATTTTTACCCAGATGTGATACTTCTTAAAATACAAGCAGACATTACAAAGAAAGTTGAAGTGTTAATAATTGTGTAAAAATGTCTGAATGAATAGTACATTGTTTTTTGTTGCCATTCTTTTTCACTTGTAGTGTTTTTAGATGCCAGGGCTGTTGGTGGATTAAAAATGTTTGTTAATAAAAATAATGTTTTCTTTCGTCTTTAACATGCACTTCAGTGTCTGTTGCACTACCTCCTTATGTTTAAAGCCTGATTAATCTTTGAATGAAAAAAATCAAGAACTTTACACCGTAATGTTATGCCAGTTTTCCCCGTGGTGGTGCTGTATGCATGCATACGTATGCTTTCTTCAGCCTCCGCCACTGAGAACTTCGTCTCCAGCCAGCATCGCCTCACTCAAAAGGCGTGATGGGTGCTTCGACTTACCTCGGGAACGGATTACTTTCGTAAGTCGGGGTTCCACTGTAGTTCATTTAGTAGATGTGTTTATTAATGTGGTTAACAGTATGACTGTCCTTTTTACCAGTTGCTGTTACGCCAGCTTAATATCACAACCCTTATTCTGAAAGAATTTCAGCTGTCACAACAGGAAATGTACAGGTAGAATTAATACCATGACAATGACTCATCTCTATGTTCCAGTAAATTATTAACATGCACGAACAATAATAGAAAATTGCTTAAATGGAATGCAGTCTTTGTCTAAGCTGTTGTTGGTCTCTCTTGCTAAGCCTGAAACCACAGCTCACTGCATTTACTCAGTGATGGTGAGGCTACAGACTTCGAATCCCAGAGCTCTGTTTCATTGCTCCTGCCATAGTCTGTTCCACTGAAAAGATTAATAAAGCTTTCTGAGGCTGATCGACTCATCCACACACAAAGGAAATTAATGAAACATGAAAAAGGCTTAATGATGTAGCTTCAGCCACTGGTTGACAGATCGCATGACTGAAAGTGTTTCTTCATTTACTTTCCATAATGATGATAGCTGGATAAAAACTTGTCTGACCTCTGAACCACTCATATGTCCAGTTAAAAAGGACAAACATGTTAAGGGAGGAAAGTGAATTGTATTTGTTGAAAATCAACAGCACGTACCTGAAGTAAAAAGACACAGTTGCAGTATTCCTACTTTTAACGTGCTCTTCAGAATGAGAACACCTTACTCTGACACTAACAAGATTCTGAATTTAGCACTTTTAATTACATAAACATTTGTACCCTGCAATTTTAATTTTGTCAGAAATGAGAAAAACAAATACCCAGGAATAAAACCTGCTGAGTTTGTTCTCACTCACCTGTCACTGTTGTTTCACCTTAAAATGATGGAAAGAAAGTGTGAAAAAGAGATTGGACATCCTCGCTCAGGTGTGTCTGTGTTGTATCTGACTCAAAAACAAGGAACCTGTACATCTCACCTGACTGCAAGCTGATGATGCCAATGCTGTTACCTTGGCAGAATGCAGTTTATCAGGTTTACAGACAGATGAACAAACACCTCCCAAAACCATAAGAGTCAAGTTACAGGAGGCATTTACTGTATATAATTGTGTTTCAACAGTACTTTATATGGTATTAATGTCATACCTGAAACTAACTTTGTGGTTGTAAATGTTACAGTAGAAAAGGTGTCATCACCGGTCTAGTCCAATCACCTTCTCCCGCCCTTCTCCAGGCCAATCAACATTCATGCCTCGTACTTTAAATTTCATCTGCATTTGTCTTTCTCCTTCGCAGACTCCTTTGTGCAATCCACCTGCTCCCCATCTCCGAATCTCAGCACTCAAGCTTCATTCAAGCCACCCTCAACTCCACCAGCAGTGTCTAGTCTCCCTTTCTCAGCTGGGGTCTGCTCTGCCCAGAGTCAATTGGCGTCTAACCACTAAACACCTACAGTGGGTTTTCCATTCATCAATAAGTCAAGTTCCTTCTTTCTAATCAGAGTCAGAGTCAGAGAGACTTTATTTATCCCCAAAGTGCAATTAAGCAATTAAGATTGTTAAGGGTTCAAATATTGAGGAGGGATACAGGAGGTAATCCAAATAACAACACTGATCCAGCCGGGTGGAGTCAAACGAGGATTTTAATGAACACACGTGTGGGAGATGAACACTGTATGCAGACAGCATCGATCTCACTCGAACAATACACAATCAGTTGTTTTATATCATCAGGGAAATTTATAACGCCCCTCATGCGTCATCACATGCATAAGTTTCAAAACCACAAATGTTCTGTTGACAACTTGTGACACAGTTAAAAAAGAACATTGTCTCCGTCTCCATGGCAGGTGCTTCCTGTCGCTGCCGGACGCCCGCTTATTGTCTGGAACATCAGGCACACATTTTGCAACAAACTGTTCTTTTGCAGGCACAATTTTGCAGTAACAAGAAAAATATAATTAAACTTTCACCTATAAATGAGCCTATCTACTGTGTGTGGGTGTGTGTGTGTATGTGTCAACCTGAAATGCACTCAGTTTCACCTCTCACCTCACCAACTAAACCTTGTAACCTTTCCACCAGACCGAAGGCCAGCACGTACACAACTGAAACTATATGTGTAATATATTGAATAAATGTTTTAATCAAATGATACTACTTAAAACTTAATAAAAGAATATAAAAGAATAAAAGATAACAATGAATAACCTGGTTATTCAAATAGCCTCATCCAGACAGCTCCTCAAAATAACCACCAAAAAATGCACACTTTACAGAGGAAACAAAGACATTTCAGAAGTACACTTCCTGACTTATTCTGAGTCATCTGTTACCAAGCAAACTCAAACGCAGCAGGTTGCTGAATACACTCAGGTCTTTATTCAGGCCTGTTTCTAGATTATATGTGATACATGTATTATAAGCGTATATGCAATCTTTCCATAGCTCTTAGCCACTTTGCTCAATAGATAGGCCGGACATCGCACCGGACGAAGCTTCTGACCATCAATTAACTGACCCCCATCACACTGAACACTGGTGCTCCACAGGGGTGTGTACTGAGCCCTCTCCTGTACTCACTCTACACCTACGACTGCATGGCCACTAGCAACTCCAACATCATTGTGAAGTTTGCGGACGACACTACAGCGGTGGGTCTTATCACCAACGGTGATGAGACGGCTTACAGGGAGGAGGTCAGCGCCCTGACCCACTGGTGTCAAGACAACCATCTCACCCTCACCATCTCACCCTCAACGTCGCAAAGACAAAGGAGTTGATAGTGGACTTCCGGAGGTGCAGAGAAGTACACACCCCCATCACCATCAACGGCGCTGCTGTGGAGAGAGTGAGCAGCTTCCGGTTCCTTGGTGTACATCTGGCTGAGGATCTTACGTGGTCAGTACACACAAACAAAACAGTGAAGAAGGCGCAGCAGCGCCTCTTCTTTCTCAGGAGACTGAAAAGATTTGGCATGAGCCCCCACATCCTCAGGACCTTCTATCACTGTGCCATTGAGAGCATCCTCACTGGATGCATCACCACCTGGTACGGCAACAGCACCGCCTGCAACTGCAAAGCTCTCCAGCGAGTAGTGCGGTGCTCTGAACGGATAATTGGAGGTGAGCTTCCCTCCCTCCAAGACATCTACAGGAAGCGCTGCCTGAGGAAAGTGGGGAGGATCATCAAGGACTCCAGTCACCCCAGCCATAAACTGTTCAGACTACTTCCATTAGGAAGGAGGTTCTGCAGCATCCGGTCCCGTACCAGCAGACTGAGAGACAGCTTTTTCCATCAGGCCATCAGACTGCTGAACACGTCATAGACACCTCAGCTTCACAACTGGAACTTCAACATTATGCACTCCATACTGTACAGTAATGCCATCGTTTTGCACATGTCTCAACTCTGTATATTTTTATATATTTTATTTATTGACTCTATTTAATTTGTAAAATATGTGTATACACACACACACACGTAGAAAAACATTTAGTATACACATCCAGAAAAATTTTTTTTTTGCATATACTATTATATATTGTACATATATTTATTAGTTTCAGATTTAGCCATTTGTATATTTTGCCTGTTTATGTTATTGTATTTTGCACAACTCTGTTGCTTGTGAAGCTCGCACACAAGAATTTCACTCACATGTGCTGTACCAATGTACCTGCACATGTGATGTGACAATAAAAGTGATTTGATTTGATTTGATTTGATATTGTAGGGATAGCCCAAGTGAACCGTGTAAACAGATCAGTAACCACAAGTATGTTTTGATAAGTGTCAGTTGGCCGGCCTAAGGACAGAAAATCCATGCCTACAACCTCCAAATGGTATGAGACTGAAATAGGGTGCAGTGGAGCCCTAGGTTCTACCCTCTCTTTTTGTAGACTACAGGGGACACAACCCAGATGAAACTGACGTACCTGCGCTTCCATGTTAACCCAGTAGAACCGCTGCCGTATCCGAGAGAGGGTTCGATCTACCCCCGCATGAGCAGCAGCCTTCCGCCACACCTCATGGCACCTGGAACTAGGACACACAACTTGATAACGAGTCTCCTGGGTATATTCATCCAACACTTTACGGCACAGTATTCCGTCTTTAATAAAAAGTCTTTTTTGTTGCTGCAGGAGTCGTCGCACACCATGTGACAATGTCTGATGTTCTAACTTTGTGGGTGCGACCTGGGCTTCCAGAAGTTGCTTTACTACTTGAATATCCGGATCACGAGCTTGTGCTTCTGCCCAGTCACTCCCCTCTACCTCACAGGTCAATTCAATGGCTGCTGAAGTGACTCCACGCTCTGATCCAGCCCCCTCCAGGTGCTCTGCTGGGACAGTGGGGAATCGAGAAAGGGCATCAGCATTAATATTACTCTTACCCGAACGATACTTCATCTCGCAGTCGAAAGAGGCCAGCTGGGCAACCCAACGTTGTTCTACTGCGCCCAAGCGAGCAGTCTGTAAATGGGCCACAGGGTTATTATCAGTATACACAACGAATCGTGCACCAGTCAGATAGTCTTTAAATTTTTCGGTAACTGCCCACTTAAGGGCTAACAGCTCCAACTTGAAGGAACTATAGTTGGTGTCATTCCGTTCCGTGTGGTGTAAGCTTCTGCTGGTGTACGCTATTACCCTTTCTTGGCCCTCTTGAACCTGGGCCAAAATGGCTCCCAGCCCGCAACCACTGCCGTCAGTATACACAATAAAGGGAAGAGAGTAATCTGCGTATGCTAAAACAGGTGCTTGCGTTAAAGCTGCTTTGAGTGCCTCAAATGCTGTTTGACATTCTGGGGACCACTGCACTTTGCGACGGTCTGTTTTCTTGTTCACAGGGACCCCTGTCAATATTGCATTTAAAGGGCGTGCGATTTTAGCAAAGCCGGACACAAAACGTCTGTAGTAACCAGCCAGGCCCAAAAAGGATCTGACTTGTCTGATGGTATCAGGGACCGGCCAATCCATCACTGCAGAAATCTTATCAGGGTCTGGTCTTACACCACACTTATCCACTACATGCCCCAGAAATTTCACCTCCTGTTGCAGGAACTTGCACTTTTTCGGCTGTAACTTCAACCCATGACGCCACAGCCTCTGAAACACTTCATCTAAATGCTGTAAATGAGACGAAAAGTCAGGTGAATAAATGATAATGTCATCCAAGTACACCAATAAAGACTCTGCAATCTGTCCACTCAAACAGTGCTGCATCAGCCGTTGAAATGTAGCGGGTGCATTGCACAGACCAAACGGCATCCGCTCAAACTCAAACAACCCGACTGGGGTAGTAAAAGCAGTCTTGTATAAAACCCCTGCGATTTGTGCATATAGACTGTTCCACGGACCCCCTCTAACCACTGCTAAGGTGGTACATTCCTCCCATCCTTTGTTTGTGTTTGCGCTGGTTCACCGTGATAGCGCTGGTGGAGCTGGGCTGTTGTACTGAATATGTGTCGTGCGTGTGCGTGAATGATAAGTAAGTGCCTTGTATTTGTTTGTTCTATGGTTGTAACTTATCATATACTTGCCTATGTACATTGTGTCATGCTTTTATAGAGTTTTCCAGCGGTTTGTGTAGCCACGAGACACTGTATATTCACGCTGATTTGACCAAAATGGTGCTACCCTTGTGAACTGAGCTGCCCAAAGTAAAGATGGAGTCTATCCCTGTGCAGCAGCCCATTTGTGTCCACCAGGGGGTGGTGTTTAGTCATTTTTCGAATTAGTCTTTCTGTTCAACCCTTTCTGTATTATTTAGACCAGTTTGGTTGACTTTAATTGTTTGCTAATTGTAATTTCTGTTATTTTACAGAACCACACACACATACATATACTCACACGAATTCACTTCTGGAGATGTTTTGGATTAAAGGAACCCTAATTATCATTGCTGTGGACCCTCTCTTT